ACAGATGGAACTCAAACTTCGTCGTTCGCTGTCCCTTTGTGGGGACGGGATATAACTTATCTCAGTTCCCCAAAGTCTGCTCTACACCCAATTAAACACACCACCCTAGCACACTAAGGCAGGAGCAGGCAGACGCAGGCCCGAACACCGCTCGGCCTGCAGTTTGTGTGCAAGTGTTGGAAAAAAACAAACTACAAAACAAACGTGTGTGTGTGTGTTTGTGTGTGTGTGTGTATGCGTGCATTTCTGTGCATGTGTGCGCGCGCGTGTGTGTTAGTCGGGGCTCCGTGCTGGGCCAGGAAACTCTCCAGATAGCTCAGGTATCAGACACAGTGTGTGAAATAATGTGTTCCTCTCCCTTCGCACCTCTGATGTTTGCCTTACTATTTTTGATGGAGGATTTCCTTGAACCCCGATTCAGTTCACAAAGCAGTTGTATTTTGTTAGACTTTTCCTACAAGTGCACAATGTATAGAGTTACATAGAGCGCCATTATTGCTCCATCTTCTCATCACCCATATCATCCACTGCTCCCATTTTTTTTCTTTTCTTCTTTTCCTTCCCCGAAAGGAAATACCTTGACCTGGACTGCTGATGTCAAGGTGTGTATGTGTGTGTATGTATGTTTCCAGGAATACTCCTATCTCTGCTGGCCTGATATGAGCTTTACCATTACAACTTCTCTGTGTGTGTGTGTTTTATCAGGGCGTGTCTTCCGTTAGTGTGTTTGGACATGTCCAGACCCGTTTGGTATCTGAGAAGCCTTATTGGCTTAGAGGTAGAACACTAGGTTACTGTTGCAAGCTTCAAAAATGACACACACAGACAGAACGACGCGCCTGCAGAGAGACAAGCCCGAGCTCTTGCAAAACCCTTTCAGTGCTCCAGTTGGCACTGATCTTTACTGTGTCTGATGAGCTTTCAGGGCGATTGTTTTTAAGACAGCAGGCAGGTTGATATTTGTTTATTCTAGCTTTTGGAGCCACAGTGTAAGCATCAAACAATTTCATGCTCGCTGCCTGGGCAAGGTGGGCGTAGGCTGGCACTGATTGGCTGGCCTACATAGGTAGGATGCCCTATATATAAGTTGGATGGAGAGCTACAGCTGAACACAGAGCTACAGTATTATCAGATGCCAATTGGCTGCCATCTGTGGATGAGTCAGTGGAGTGCACAGTTAGCGGTGTCGCCAGCGTGTGACTAATCTGTGTGCCATCTCCATGCCCACACTCACCAGCCGGGGAGCAGAGAGGGTGAGAGCGACGGCTAGAAGAGAAAATGTTCCTGTGATTTGGCTTTAACCTGCGAGGGTGATGGCGGTGGGAACGAGGGGGTGACGGGTGAGGCGGAGGTAGCTTTTTTAGCGTTCACCCCACCCCCCCATCCCATCCTCTCGCCAGTTGTGCTGTGAATAAAAATGCTGCGCAAATTATTCCACAGTCAAGGTGTTCAGCCAGCGAGGACACTGCAGACCAGCTATCACACAGCCCAGGGCAGCGGCACCGAGACAGGATTTACTGCTGCTGGATGTGTGTGTGCACGCAGAGGCTCGCTGCGTGAACGTGTAGGTGCTCATATGTGTGAGTGCTTATTTGTGCTTATATTTGCAGTTTATTTCTGTACGTATGCGCACATGTGTGAGTGTGTGTAAGTGTACCCTTCTGTGGTCCAGCCTCTGAACAGACCTTTTTTTTTTTTTTTTTGGGACTGTGGAAGTAGGTGCTCCAAACAGTGTGGCTGCCAAAGTACAGAGTGCCGCAGTCCCGGTTAATGATGTGCGAGAGGAGAGGGGAGCAGATAAGGACAGCCATTCCTCGGCACGCAGACATGAGCTGACGTTTGACGCACATGTGCGCGCGCGCACACACACACACACACACACACACATACACAAACACACCAAGACTGACGGGTCCAGGTTTATCTCCAGTCAAACGGTCAGGCTGCCGGTTAATGTTTATTCACCGGTAGAGACACCCATCATCCGCTGCCACATACTGTTGCCATCCACCGACAGACACTGCTGAGTTAAAAGGCAGCCCAGCTTGAAGACTCTGGGAAGACTCCAGTGGCTTTTTTTTTTGTGCGTGTCGTTAACCTCAGAGTTAACAACCTAAACAGCTGCTTGTGCTTTTGTGGTCCTGTGTTTTAACTCAGCATGCAGCCCTCAGCGGCCCTCTGCGAAACACATCTAGATCAAATATTTTTGTTTCGGATCGCCGCGCATCCGTTCACCTACACCAGCTTAGGGAGTCATTACCAAATTACCACAAACCCATATCTCATTTTCATTCATTCTAGTAAACCACTTAATGTTATTCGAGTTTTTTTTTTTTTTTTGGGCGGGTGGGTGGGGTGGGAAGGGTATAAAACAGTAAATGTAAATATATGGATAGAGCCCGATTTAAGATGTAATTTCACCCGAACACTGCTCACGAGGACAAAAAAATTAAGATTAGATTTTTGTAATGGAGGATGTTTGTAAATAGCTGTCTTTTTAAAGTGTGTTTTGTATGAATCCTTGCATTTTTTTTTTTTGGTCTCTGCAACATGTTTTTATTTACTTTTTCCTTTAGAGTTAATATTGCAAAAGTTCACATGAGTTGCCTTTTTTGTGCAGCTTTGTCCAGTATTGTCAAAATAAAGAAAAGTCTTTGTTACCACATGTGTTTTAAAAAGAAAAAAATGGGGTTCAGATTTTTATTTTATTTTATTTTTTACATTGCCATTAAACACAAATTGTACTAGAAGCTGTTCAGGACTGAAGCTTTGTCATAGAGTGGCTTTGAAAAGGATGCGTCACGCTGAAGCTGTGAGTGATAAGGCCCTTCCCTGTTGGAGACGGCACTTAACTCTGCATATGAAGACTGTTATTCCACTGCCTTTGAGTTACCTGCACCTTCCACTCTATTATAAGATGTAAAACACTCTGGGCCCGCAAAGATGAATCTTTCCTCAGTTTTAATAAGTCTGTCGGGCCAGACTGAGAAAGAGAGAGAGATGTAGAGAGAGGGAGAGAAAGGAGGAGAAAAGGAGGCCATGTATGAGTATGTGGCCGTACTGCGCTCGCCAATAAATCATCTGGTTTACACCACTCATTATCTCCCAGGCGGTCCTTTGTTTTAAAGATGCTCTCTCCTTCTCTTTCCCTCCCTCCGCCCCTCTCCTTTGTCATCACTCCCTTCCCAATTTAGCACAAGGATGCTGGTCGCTCGTGGCACGAGCCTCACTGTAGGTTGATTTCTGCTATTGTTCAAAGCCACAGTATTATTTTTCAATGTGCATGTGTAAGCAGAACCTGTTGAATTCGTTTCCCTTTGTTTGAATCACAGCTGTCGAGTTTTTGTTTTTTATTTCATTTTGCCGTTCACTTTTTTTTTTCCTGCAGCTTCTCAGCATAACCTGTTGGCACCAGCTACAATGGAAATAACGTTCCACCAGTTTGGAAACTACCGCATATTGATAAATAAAATTTTTCCCATGGAACTTGGTCTGGAGTGATGTTTTTTCTTTTCATTTTGTCATCCCCCCTTCTTCAAAGCCTTATGAATGTGGGCAAAAGATTTAATTTGCCTTCCCACTGACCACCTTCGTACATGGTGGGAGCACAAACCAGTCGCCCACGCTCGAAGCATTTCCCCCTCAGTGTCCCCTCCTCTCCAAACCCCTCCAAAAACCCTCACCTCAGGGGTCAGTGCTGCACAGATGGGTTTGTTCTGATACATTAGTCAGATTGAAATCACAAGCAGGCTTCATAAATTCATATTCGGGGAGTATGGACACGCCTTTTTGCATAGTAACTAATATCCATATCAACCCGCTCTGCCCCAGTGTCCTCCAGAATTACATTTCTTCATACATGATTAAATCTGATTGGCTGCACTCGGCATTTCCATTGCGTTTGTCTGAAATTACAGTCCCCATTTATCCGACTGAGGAGCAAACTCCAAGTCCTTGGTGAAAGTGGAGATGGCATGAAATGCTATTAAAGTGATTGGGCATTTTCTCTGACAAACACATCAGTGTTTGTGGGCATGGCTTTCGTTGTGGCTGATGATGTGAGCAGAGACAGAGTGGGCGAGTGAAGAGACTGATGGCAGAAGAAAGAAAAAGTCAGGGCAATGAGAGGCTTAATGTGCCTGTGGCTTCACTCCCCCCCCCCATGCGCACACACACACACACACACACCATAGCCCTTCACTTCAGTCCACCCACCCAACCCTTGCTGTTTCCTTCTGTGCCCGAGGGCAGGTACATTCATCTGGTTTCCTGGCTCGGTCCCGAGACACCCCCGTAGATCCATGTTACTGTGGGTTTATTAAATCCTTCCCCCCACTGAGCTACTGTGTGTGACTGCATGTTTTTTTCTGTGTATGTCTCTGTGTTTGTGACTCTGCAAGTGTGTGTTTGTGTGTGTGTGTGCACGGATTTGCCACGGGGGTTCTTCTGTTGTTTTCACTAACACACACACA